GCAAGACAAGTAATACTGAAGTGACGAAATTTGTTTTATGAACAATAAAATAGAAGGGAGGTGACACAAGGTAAGAGTGGTATAGGACAGATTAGGAAGGGGTGTCATTACAGAAAGGCAATATTTGAATCAGGTCTTGAAAGTCAAGGGGAATATGGACATTCAAGATGAAGGGAGAGGTTATCCCAACAGAAAGAATAACATAAGCAGAGCCAGAAAGGTACATCAATAAGACGGCTAATTGGATTACATGAGAATCAAACTAACCCTATGGGAAGGGTTCTTTGGAGTAGCTATGGTAGGTAAGTTTGGACAAGTATGATAGGGAACTATTCATAAAGGCTCTAGAATGTCAATTTGAGAAGTGAGGATGTGTGAGCATCAAGTAGGTGAGGGCTATGACAAAAGAAACAAAAAGATGAAAAGACTACATTAGGAAGATGAATGTGGCATGTCTCTTGGATGGCTATCACTCTGCCCACTCTCTCATTGTTACATCTCCCCTGAAGAGAGGGAGACTAATTCATAGAATAAGCAGTAGAGGTCTGAGACATTTAGAAAGGGGAATCAACAGTGCACTGAGACTGGTTACATAGGAGATGAAAGATAAGGAGACCAAGATGACACCGAGGCTTCCAAACCAGAGAGGCTGGAGAATGCCGATTACAGAAAGAGGCAGGGTAAAAGAGGGTGAGGGCCTTCTAAGGGAAAATGGTGAGTTCAATTCTGCACATGTTGAGTTAGAGGCAAAAGCGAGACACACAGTGCACTGTCCTGTATGTAGAAGACATGACCTCGGGACTCAAGATCTTAATCAGAGTGATATATTTGAATTGTATTTATGTAAGGGCAATTGTAGAGCTCAGGAGGCGTTGATAAGCTTACTGAAAAAAATAAAAGTTGTGTAAAAAAGGGAATGAGAAACGAAGAATGAGAGTCGGAAGCAAAGGGGGTAATTATTACCGTCAACGAACCTAAGGGATGGCCCACAAGGAGGGAATTTCAAAAAAGTGATGTTGATCAACAATGTCAAATGCCACAGGGAAGCAAAGGAAGTTCAAAATGGGGAGAGAGTTAAGAGATGGCTAAAAGACGGGCACTGGAAAACTTCAGGAGTCTTTCTAAAGAGAAGGGTCAAGAAACCAGGTTGGGGAAGAGTTCAAAGAGGGCAAGGAAGCAGTAAACGTAACAGAGAAGACAGCAATGTGGTCACGAGTCTGAAAGCTTTGGGAGAGAATTTCCACAGCAGCTACAAGCAACAATGCGATTCAGAAGAGGTTTCACTCGTACTTTTCAACACAAAAGGTCTGACTAAATCTTCTAGCATAAAGTAACCCCACAGAGAGAAATAAATTAACGTGACACTTTTTTTCTCCTTCTTCATGTATAACAGCAATAGCTTTCGTTCTGTGGAGATCGCCAATGGACTTTATTACAGGAACTACTGCAACTGGAAATCAAACTATTACTATTACAGCCAAAAGCAAAGGCATCTGAGCCACTCACAACAGTGAACTTTAATTATACCTTACACATATGGGATGAGACAAAAAACAAAACCAAACCATTATGGCCATGCATCAGACAAGTGGCTTCACATAAATCACTTTCTCGCGCTTCAAATCTCCCTTGGTATCCATATGCGTATGCTCACAAATTGGCACTTAGAAAACAACTCTCCATATCTCGCCACAACAAAGGACTTTGGAAAACACATCCATTCCCTATGGGAATCCTCTAAAGACTAAAATATTAATTTCTACAACATCCTTATTTCCCAAAGTAGCACACTTCCTTTCCCACATCAAGAGTACTGCCCTCTAATTACTGTTGTCTTATTGCTTTACTCAGGAAAATAATTAGCTGACTGCTTCCGACCTAAGTTTAATCAAAAGTTTAACAATATCTTTTCCACTACCAGTATTTTTCAGTACTGCTGAAAAGTATTATTGGGTGACCACTGTATGGCATTGTATAAATGCAGTCTCCTGACTCATTTCATTTCTCTCTAGCTTCTTCTTCAACATTTACTTACTGTTAGTTTTACAAGTTAATTTTGTCAGTGTATCCCTTCTTGTCACTCATTTTGTTATCATATTATCTACTGTGTTAAACTCAACATTTACAGATCAAACTCAAGTTTTTAGGCCTTTACTAGACCTTTCCAATATGTAGCGAATGTTTCCAGAATGTTTCTCAAAAAAGGGTTTTTAAAAATATTTCTATACCTTAACATGATATTGAGTATGACTCACACCAATTCATTCAAAAAACGTTTTGAACACCAACGATGTGCTAGCATTGTGCGAGAGGGTGAGCAAACAGCAATAAACAAATGGTCATGAGCTGCCTCCCTTCCCTCATGAGCTCAGTTTCTAGCAGGAGAAGAAGCAGACGTACACAAACAAAATAATGAAGGTATTTAGTGTGTCAGCAAGTGCTTTAGAGAAATTAAAGCAGGAAAGGTGGATGATGGCGAGTGTTGGGCTGAAAACAGAAAGGCTGCACTCCGGAATACGGTGGTCAGGGAAGGCCTCACTGAGAACTGACGTCTGAGCAAAGACCTAAAGGAAGCGAAGGAGCTGTCCATGGGGTATCTAGAAGGAGAGCATTCCAAGCAAAGGGAACAACAGTGCAAAGGCCCTGAGGCAGGAGCATGCCAGGCATCTTGAAGGATCAGCAAAGAGAATAGAAGAGGGTGAGGGAAACGCTAGCAGGAAATGAGATCAAAGAGGTAAAGGGGAGGAGTACAGATGGTCTGGTCCCCCAGGGCGCCAGAAGGACTTTGGCTTTTACTCTGAAGGAGATGAGAAGTATTTGGAGGGTTGAGAGAAAAGAAGTGAAATGACTTGACATGTTCGTAAAGAATCAATCCAGCTACTGGATAAATCCCTGGTTGCAGGGATGCAGGAAGCTGCTGGATCAGGGGAGCAGGAGGAGACAGAGGTGGTGAAAAGCGGTTAAATTGTGGATATTGTTTAAAGATTGAGCAAAAAAGCATTTGCAGTATTAGATGCAGGATATGAGGAAAAGATGAAGTTGTCGTCTACTGACACGGGTAAGGTCTCAGAAGGAGGAGGTGCGGCAGGGAGAGAGTGGCATGGGGGAAGGGGAGCTGCTCAGGAGTTTGGTTTCGGCCATGTTACATTTCGGCTACCTATTGGCCAGCCAGGAGGAAAGGCAGAAATTCAAGGCTGAAGTTCAAGGTGGTCGCCAAGGGAATAAATGGAGGTAGAGAGAAAGGGTCAGAGCAATGACTCCTGGGATCCAGGAAACATATCACGTGGCTCCAACAGCTACACATCATGGAGAAGAACAACAACCAGCAAAGGACCCTGAAACAGTGAAGCACAGAGGCAGGAGGAGAGACAGGGAGAGCAGCGTCCTGCAAGGAAGTGTCTCATTGAGGAGAGGGTCACTGTCATCCTGAACAAGCCATCCATCTGGGCCATCTCTACAATAACTAACGACAATAAGAATACTGATCTTTGTGCTCTCCTTTATTACAAAACACTCCAAGTTTCGCCTCACTGCTTCTCAGCGATGCTGAGACAGCACCGGGGAGACGAAAGAGCACAGGCTTGGTGGCAAGAGGAGACGTGTGCTCTCTTGGAACCCAGTGAACCTGTCTGAGCCTCCTTTTATTTCCTAGGAGACTGGGAGGTTAATCCCTCCGTCACAGGACTGTTGTGCAGGTTAACGAGGATGTACATAAATTTTCAGCATCTGGAGTTGCTTGGCACACATCATTTACTTTCCCCCTTTTGCTAGTAAGTAGTGGAAGGCCCAGAAATCAGATCTCACTGTGCCAAGCAGCTAATTTAACTCTCCCACTGCATAGTACTTAAAAAGAAAAAAACTATTCCTTTTTTCAGAAATGTATGTATCTGGAGCACTAGAGTAAAGCGTGGAAGGAGAGAATCAGACAATCTCTATTCACGATCAACTGCAGAAAAAGCCTGCTCTGGCCCATGATTGTGGTCACTCTGCTCCATTTCTGATCATTTTGACCAATTCAAAATGTCGTTCTTTCTAGTGGTGGTTTTTAAACTACTCCACAAACGCACACCAATTCTCACCTCCTTTTGCTCCTCTTTGTCATCTCAGAGTTCTCACTTTTCAAGGAAGCAAGCACACAACCCACCCTGATCAACTTTTTAGGGGCATATTGGAAAAACGTTATTTAACTCAATCCTTGATTGATATATATGTTAATGTCATTTTATTCATTTCCTTGTATTTCTCAACCCTACCTACACATTAGAATCTGCTACGGAGCTTTTTAAAAATACTGACTCCTGACTCCCCACCCGCTCTCCCCAGTCTGAGATTCTAAATTGGTCCTGAGTGAGGCCATCACCATATCCCCAACGATTTAGTCTTTCTGACATTTACTAAGCTTAATGGGTTGGTCTCTTCTGGTCTCACCTGTGCCCTATAGAGCCATTAATACAATCTATTGCTAAAAGCCTGTTGGCCAGATGACTCTTCTTGAATCAGAGCTCAATTCTGTAATTCCCTTGCTCCAAAACCTCCCCTTCTCTCCTTTGTCTACTAAATCAGTCCTAAATGACTTCTGGCATTCAAGGCCATCCACTATCTGACTCCAGGCCACTTTGATCCCCCACTACCCCGCTACACCAACACTTCCGTTGGACCATTTTAATCACTGTTCTACAAAAGCAAAAGCATGGAATGAGACAGCCTTTCCAACAATTCCATCAGAAGTTTAATCTACTCAAAAACCACAGGCCTTCACCCTTTGTCACTAGAGTGATAGACAAAAAAGAATTGGTTTGCATTAAGCAAATCAGTATCAGAATATAAATGCTAACTGGCTTCAGATAGTGCAGGCCCTGCTGTCAGCAGATGGCTAGAGGGAGCCCTGCACCCCCCGGGCTCTGACCTGACTCTCCAGGCTCTAGTCAGTAGCCCCACATATGACATCAATTGCATCAGGATCTCAGAGGAGGAGAAGAGTTTTCTCCTGAGTGATTTCATATTTCTTACTCCGAAGTCAAAAGAGGACTACTTGTTGATCAAGAAAACATGAGTTTGTAGCTACAGGTCTGAGAACTCTTAACTCCAAGTATTTTGGGTATATTTTCCCAAACTGGTAGCCCTACCCAGTCTCTGGAGTGGGTTTGTGGGGCTGAGAACTCCAAAATACAATGTCAGCCTTTATTTGTAAATTGGTTCCATCAGAGACACAGATGCGTGAAATCAGATTAGCGGTACTGTTATTTTTTACTGGCATAATTAATCCCATGTTGTTGACAGGCTGATGATCACTACGGTATTTCTTCATATGAATAGGAATTGCTCTCATCTGAGTTTTCGGGGTTTGGGTTTTTTTATTCTTTTCTCTTTTTTTTGGTGTTGGAGTGGCAGTTTGAAGACTAAACTGTGTCTCAACCTTAGCTTTACATGAAAATTGTAAAACTATTTTATTCATGTACTGTTTTACATGAAATTTAGAAACTATGACACCAAGAAACAGATCTTAACCTCACTCTCAACAACTGTTACTCAAACAGACACCATCAAGTTAAACAAAACCACTTCGCTCTGTGGCTTCCCAAAATGGAGATAACTGATTTCTCTCTTTTTATTTTTCCACACTTCCTGAATCTCTAAACAAAGTATAAGAACAGTATAAACAATCAAGGGGAATAAATATTTAAGGTGCTGGAAATTAGAACAAATGGAGCTATAGAAACTTGAATTATAGGATATTAAGACTGGAGTCAGGCTCTCAGAGGATGGGAAAAGATTCTCTAACTCTGCTCCTTGTGTTTGGAGCAACCTATTTCAGGTGTCTACCTGGAACCGCATGTGACCTGAAAGAAGATGCTTCTAACGTTTACACAGTGGTAGAAAGTGAGCCTACGGACCAAAATAAATAGCAGCCCTCAAACAAGCTGTCAGGATAGTTTTCAAGCTTTTCCTAATGGCTCAGTCTCTAGATAAGACCAGACTTAATTTATTAAGGAAAGTCCTGATGTCTACAGTATTCTTCTAAATTATACAATAATCGTAAAACATTAATAAACCTTCCTAGGTGGAAAATGGACTAAGGGAGTAACTGTGAACCAACTGGCTCAAATGATTATTCTAATCATCTAAGGAAACCAGTTTAATAAAAGCAGTCATAATCTCTCTCACCTTGGGTTACCAATATTGGTCCTAATCTTTATTATTATGGGATCATCCATCCTTTAGAAATCATCACAAGCCTAAAGTCCATCCTCTAAACTACCCATCAGTCCAGTACGTCTCCGCCAGAGGATCCTGAAGGGGACCGGGTACAGGGGATGACCAGAGAAGGGTGCATGGGAACAGGCTGGGCACGAGGAACCACATTTCTCAAGTATAAAAGGTGGCAGAGATCCTCCAAAGTCACTTCTTTGGATCTGTCACAGACTACAGAGACCTCAGCTGTGTTAACCCTTGACCCAAGTTCCTTTCATGACCCTCTGGTATGTTATCTTAGACTAAATTCTAAATCCAGCCTAGCTTCCCAGTGATCACCCCAACGGCATTCACTGTGTGCTTGATTAATGAGCACCACCAGCGCTCAGTGCCTCCGCCTGGGCCTTTGGGACTGATGACCCGGATGAGCCCTAAGACACTGATGATAAATGCTGATGAGTGCTAGATACTGAGCAGAGTGAAGTAGAAAATCTCAAAGCCCCATGTAAGAGCTACTGATGAGACTGAACACTTTGTTACAGTTAAAGGGACGTTCTATATCTGATTTCCCTCCTAGGCCCTGTATCCTGCATTATTTCGTTAAACAAATCTTGCCTTTAAAGCTCATTGCACATATTCTGTACACATTCTCGTGGCTTGGTACAACGGCTGTTAGTGTTACGGCCGATTGTGTCCCAGTTGTGTCAGGGTCAAACCACAGTCAAAACCAGTGCCACTGATAAAGGATAGATAAGAACCCCAAGTTTTTCCCTACTTTGAAACAATCAGGCAGACAAGTCACAAATAGCACAAAGGAGCAGTGAATGGAAAAGATTTCAACTTTCGGTGGTAATTGTGCACTTCCTTTTCGCTTGTATGATGTATTAGCCAGAGAATGGTCTCTAAAGAGAAACGGAAGAGGAAAGCACAGAACCTTATCAAAAAATACAGCCAGCTAAATCCCTTCCCTCCAGTTACACTTTTTCAAAGCCTAATATAATTATTCACCGATTTCTATTCTGAAGTTGGTAATGACGAGAGTAATAAATCTATCTCCCTTCCTTTGTGCTACGAATTCAGTGAACTAAAGAATGAAGCTCCATAAAAGGCGGCCTAAAAAACACCGTTTATAGAAATAACCCTGAAAAAGAATTCAGGATCTGAGCTTCCAGACTCTATTAACAATAAGGCAAGAAACAAGGCCCCAGGATGCTGAGGAGAAAGAGAGTATTTTCCACTGTCCTGAAGTGACCTTTCCCCTCCCCCTCAGTCTCTGGCAGTGGCTCCCAATGACACTTTACAGGTCACAAAGGAGCTGCATGCAGCTGTCCTCACTTCTCAAGGGAGTCACTTCTACAGGGCCATCAGGGAGACAATACCATGAGAACAAGAAGGGGGGAAGGGTTGCAAGGTACACTCCTTACCCTTGCTGTTCCCTCCTAGGGAAAGACTTTAGATAAGTAAAATATCTGAAAGCACTTCATACTAGCTTTGAACTCACTTGGGATCATCTAAGGTAATGGTTATAAAGCTGGTTTTAGCTGCAGCCGTGCTTTCAAGATTTCCAGCCCCTCCCCGCTCTCCCCCCCCACCCCGCCCTCTGCCCTCCCCCCTCTCTTGTTCAATGCCTCAGTCCACTGCGGTGCTACAGGACACTTCCTCTCCAGCAGAAGCTTCCCAGCGAGTGGTTCGAGTGGTTCGCTGTGCCGAGCCCTGCTTCCCACCGAGGATGAATTCTAGCCTCGGCTGCAATTCCCACTGGACAAAGCTGCTGGGACCTGTATTAGCAAACTCTCTACAAAATAAGCTCGTCGATGGTATAACCACACAACAGAGTGAGGTAGGGCATTTTTAGTTTGCACCTCCAAAAAACAAAAAGAGCCTATTACATTAAAGTGAATGTACTGAAGAATGACAGCTAAAGAATCCACTGGTTAAAGGCTTAAATCTTAGAACCACCTTGCTTCTGCTAATCTGTTCTATTAACTTTATCAGCAATGTGCATCTAATTTAATTTCATCTCTAAATTATAATTATTCTGAAGAGTTAAACAAGAGACCTGACTAGCACTTTCCTCTTGGATACTGCCTGTTAAGATTAATAATAAAAAATAAAAGTTATTTTCAAACGCTTTGGGAGACTTACAGAAAGAAGTGTGACAGAAAGGAGTGAATTCCTGCCTTTTCGTTCTATACAAAATGTCGAAACACAGATTTTCATTTCCCGTCTGCTTCGTTCATTCTCCTTGCCATTTAAACAAGCCAATATATCACCCATTATACTCATTTGTCTTGTATCTCCTGGTTCAGGGTGGGAGCTCCATGGAATGAGGGATTTTTAATTCTCATATATATCCTCTCAGCAGAGGACAACGGTTGGTACACAGTAGGAGCTCAATAAATATGCCCTAGAACATTAAGAATCCAAATATTTGGACCCTATGTTTTTGAAAACAATTATTGGAGGGGATAAATCACAATGCTTAGCATATTAGAGTTATCATTTAAATTGACCTGATACATAAATTACACTATACTGAAAACAAGGTCTTTCACAAGTTAAATAAGTGAGTTTTGAAAATGAATACAAAATCATTTTGATTTCATTTTGTGCTAATTTTTTCATGGATTTTTTTAGTTCTGTCTTTATTAATTAAAGTTACTGGAAATTTTATTTAACACATATTAAATACTAAAGAACATTCTAGAATATCATAAAGAATTTGGAACTTTGAATTCTGACAGGCTGGAAAAGAAACAATTTCTAGGGAGGATATATAATACAACATAGTAAAGCTCTATTTTTTTTTTTTATTTAAATCTAGTTAGCAGACTTTTTCTCTTTTAAAAATGTATTAAAATATCATGGCTGACTACTTGGATCTCTCATGAAGGTTTGCTTATATTTTCCTGATGACATTAAAGTTGAATCTGACCCAAATCCTCAACTATAGAAATGCTTATGTTTAAAATTAATAATCCATTCAAGTACCAACTAAACTCAAATTTTCTGACAATCTAACTTATCATATTCCTTATAATTAAGTCAACCTTAAGTATAAACTTAAAAAAAAAAACCTTAAATCCCAAAGAATATTTGCTAAAGTCAAAAAATTTCAGCATACAGACAAGGTACAATTTATATGTGAGAATTATTAGCACACTGAAAAATATCCAGGCAACACTGACTTCTCATATTTTAAAGGAAAGCTAGACTCATCTAGCCATAGCATGATTCTCTTTTGGACTCTAAGATTATACAGTTGTGCTAACTGTCTTTGCTAGAAACTGACCAAAAGGCCCCATCCATATAACATGGCCTAATTATCAAACTTCATTCTATGACCACCAGAATGTCAGTTACTCTCCCGCCTCTATCCTATTGAAAGAAGTAGGCCTGGCAAAAGGAACACTCCTGGAAATAATGATCATTTTAATTATGAACTGGCTTCATTCATGTTTAAATGACATTAATACTGTCTACCGATGCAATCTATACAATATCCATTGAATGCAGAACAATACACACGTTTTGGAGAGTAGAAGATGTGTGTGTGTGTGTGTGTGTGTGTGTATTTAACCTTTGCTTCAAATATCTTGATTTAATCATATACAAGATAAACATGAACTATATTTAACACATAAAACTAAGCATTCAAACCTGCTACGAAACACTAAGTAAATAAGTATATAGAGATCCAAAATGATCCAAGGGGAATTAAATTAAACTGAAATTAGTCTCAGTAATGATGTACATTAACAGATAAGCAACAAAAGAACTAACGTTGTCTACGTTAAAAAGGTCCGTTGTGTTTCCTCGTTTCTGTGAGGGAAACTCCTGACTTCTGGGTAATCTCTGGCTCCTGAGTACTTGCCTGGCTCTGACCCTCATCTTGCATTGACCATGAGCTTCTGTTTCTCTCTTGCTCTTGACAGTTTGCCTGAAATGAACTACTGTTCCTTCCTGACTTCTAGCTTCTGTGTACTTCCGGAGTCAACAAGTTCTGTGTCCCGGTTCCAACATCTGCCTTGGTTTTCCTAGTCCTGATTAATCACACCGCTCCAACAATCTAGAAATGCCCGGGCCAGTAATCACCAGCAGAATGTCTTGGAAGAGCTGCAGAACAGATGTACTCAGAATGCCCGCTCTCCCCCTCAGGAACCGACCGGAGCACCCTCAGGTGTGAATGACAATGATACAAGCCTTGAAAGCAGCTGTGAGTTATACAGGAATATGAAGTGCCAGATACATAACAAACACATCATAAATGATGATTTCTATATTATCCTTGGGCTTTTTCTTTTTTTGGAGACTTCAGAAAAATTAAAAAATTACACAAAATCTCCAAATCCCCAACTCTTCTTGTAGTGAAAGCCAATGGGAAAAAAAAAAAACTGTAGGGAGCTCTTACAAACATATGTGAAGAGACAGATAAATATTAGATGGATTTCTGTGTGGGCAAGAATACATTATTTTAGGAGGAAACAATCCAAATTATATTTTAAATATAATAGGTTTTTACAGTAAAGGAACCCAAGAATTAATATAAATGATTCTCTGAGGACATGAGCCTAAATTATCACTGGGCCCTAAAATCTGGCAGAGACTACTCTTTGCCCCTCAATATTGATTCTCCACTTGTTATTTTACTATAAAACTCCCTTCGTTTCAGCTGTGCATATGGCTGCCCAACTACACAGCACATTTCCAGGCTCCCCTGCAGCTGATTCAGGGATGTTAGGAACTTCTGGCCAAGGGATGAGTGACAGTGACCTGTGGAACTTGTCTCCCACCTTCCTTCCCCCTGGGGCTGCAATGTGAAAGGGGTCCCTGGAAGCATCAACCATCCCTACAAGAACACCCTAGTGTCGTGGTTCCGAAACCTCCTCCGCACATTGGAACCACCTGGAGAAGCTATATAAAATACTGATGGCTGGCTCTCTCTCCTACAGACTGATTTAATTGCGGCTAGGGGATGGTGGAGCAATAAGACAGAAGGAGCGGGAGTCTCTGAATGACCTGATGGAGCTAAGCCACGTACTCCCCTGGAACATTGCTGGGCGATGGTATCAAAAAATTAAATAACCAGAGCTCCAAGAGAGGATGCCGAAAAGGCCATGTTGATTACATATGGCTTTCATATTCACAAATAATCCTTCTGTGTTGTTTAAACTACTGTTGTTTGGCTTTAGAGAAAGCAGCTGAACAAATATCCTTATAAATAAACACAATAAACACAAAAATTCTGGTCCTCAAGTGTAGGTAAAAGAAAAAAAATACTCTCCTTTTTCTAAAGAAAAAACTACAGTACACCAATAGCAAAAAAAGAGAGCGTAGTTTTAATACAAGCCAGGAAAATCGTTGGTGAGGTAGAGAAGATTCATTAAAGAAAAACTAAAAATAAATTTAAAATATTAAGATTATTCAGTTTGACAATACAGAGGCAGAAAAATATATTAAAGTTTGCTAATTCATTAATAATTGGCATAAATCAATGAGAACTTGAAATAAAATAGGAAATCTCAAAAAAAGATGATTTTAGGACAAAGTTAAATAAATGCTGTCTCATCTTATAGGCCCATTTTTGATAGGACACAGATTAGACTGCTTTTATTTTGTTACTCTGTCATCCTCAACATGTGACTTCAATTTCATGGTCCAAAATGGCTGCCCCATCACCTGCCATCACATTCTCACACCAGCCAGGAAGAAGGGGGAGCGTACATACTTCTTCATTATAAGGGCACACCTCAGAAGTTACCCATGCCACTTCAGTTCACATCCCACTGCCCAGAACCTATTCATATGCCCACATTTAACTGCAAGGGAGGCTGGGAAACGTAGTCTTAAGCTGGACAAGCATGCATTGAGCTAAAACTTTTACCACTATAAAGAAAAGAATCTTGGATATTGGGGGCAATTAGAAGTCTCTGCCAGAGGGCTCATTATTAAGAGGTACAAAAAAATTAGGATGAAGGTGTGTCTGGAAATATTCAAAAACAATTCGTAACATAAAATACGTAAATACAAAAATATTTCTGTATAAAATCTAAATTAAAATTTCTATATAACAATATATTAAAGTTATATAAAGTCAAACACAACATAGATATACAGTGTAGAAAATGAAAGCCCACTTTATTCCCATAATTTCACCTCTGCGAAAATAATGAATTATTAAAAAATATCTTGGAATATGTGGGTTTGGGACTAACATTTAGGTGAAATAATGTCTTTCCATAGCTCTTCCCCTAGTGCTACTGACAGAAATAAAACTTTGGAATGGGAGATGTCATTTCTGTAATCCTCAGATTCCTTTCTTTGGGGTAATAGTCTCAAATAAGAAAAAACCGGAATCCAAGGAAGCAGGAAATCAAGGCCACCTTGCGACATTACAAGACATCAAAGGAAAACAACATTTCTTGCACAATCACTGAAAATGTGTCACCATCTATAAAGCCTCTCCTACTGGCAAGAAGACAACTTAAATAGACAATTAAAATAACAAGAGTGGCAAAGCAAAGTCAAACATAGACAGCAACTCTTATTTGACTCTCAGAGAAACAGTTTTAAAATGAATAAAAATGTTTACCCATTCATACTCTATTTTGCCGTATTGTTGCTATAAACCCAGAGAATATTTTTATATCAGTATTCTAAATTTAACCAGCTGGAGTAATTTCTTAAGTAGTATACCATTTAACCTTCTCAAATGAAGGCCTTGTGTTTTAATGGAAAATATGCATTTCGCATTAATGACAGAACACAATGTCCTTGGCTTAGATCTTCTCCAACAAAACAGGTCTTTTTTTTGTACGCTATGCTTAGCTATATGGCAAGGCTAGAATACAACAAATTTATTCAAAGAATCAAAGTCTGAAGTCATCTATACTAACTAGAAGTATTTAAAAATCGTAACCTCAAGTTAACATATCAATTTTCTCAAAATTCCAATCACTGACCTCCTGGCTCAAATGCAATAGTTCATGAGAATGGAAAAAAAAATTATTTTTAAAAGGTTTCATTAGATGTGTCAGGATTCGAATGATTATGCTCAATACCATTCAAAAAGTGAGCCGACCACTTTTAAGCAAAGAAACACTTAGTAAGGGATGTTTTTCCTTAATTTTTCATTATTTGTGGAAAATATAATGTCACAAGTCAAAGAAATCTTGGTTATAATATAGCTAATGCAACTTAAATAAGTTGAGAATAATAAAAATTCATCTATTATGAAAAGCAAATATCCTAAGTAAGACTTGTTAAGAATTAATATAAACGAAAACAACTAATTTTAGGTCAAACTAATTGTACTCAAAATTCAAACATAATTTTATTTGGTATTAAAGTATAACAACAGGTATATAGTAAAAGAACACTCAACAGAACACTGTTAATAATGATTGTTGGGTGCATCACATGTAATAACATAGAAGTTCTATACAATTTGTATCAACAGTTTAAGAACTGATTATATCATTATTTGAGCGTAGTAGGAATAGATGTAATAAACCAGAAGAGGCTACTTCTCTATTTTGACTTCTAAATTTACATGTTGCACTTAAGAACATCACATGTAAAAGAATGAGTACACAGAGATGGTTAAACACCCAACCTCCGACGTCTAAGTTCAGTTCCCCTTACTGTTCTTGAAAGAGCATGTTCCAAATCTTCACTGTCTTTAGGGCACCTCACTCTCAACAAAAACGAAACAGAACACAAAGAAAACAAGAGCTGGACTTCACAGAGAAATAAAAGCCATCAGGTAGAAAGCCACAACTTCCCCCTCCCCTAAAGTGACCCTTGATCCTGCATCCTTCCCTCCCTCCTAGAGGAAAGCCATCCCTCCCTGACGCCAAGACCACCCCTTCCTGCATTCCTGAGGGCCCCTGGGGCCTCCTGGGGCCCTGGCTTCATCTATTAAACCCTCCAGTATGCTCCCAGGCTTGAAGAGAAAGGGGTCAAGAGAAGGCTGGGTGGCCTGAGCAAGCGCCAGACTCAGTCTGTGAGGGAGAAGAGGTGGAGGAGAGGGGAAGGGAAACAGAGTGGAGACGCTTACTACCCACCAGGACTTCACCTACAGAAGCTGATTTGAACTTCAGGCCAGCCCTGTGAACTCTTATCAATTATGTTTTCCAAATATGAAACTGGGCATAAGGAGGCTATGTCAATTGCCCCAAGTTACACAGTTTGTAAATTTCAGCGCCAGGACTTTACCCCAGGTCATCAGCTCCCTTAAAACAGTGCTCTGTAGCATGCACTTCCCCCCACTGTCCCAGCATGGGAGGCAGAGCCACTGGTAATGAGTGTTCACAAGGAGGTACAAAGGCCATCCCAGCAGTTCCATAAGCTCTAGACTAGAGAAGAAGCAGAGTTTTAAAAATATACAAGAGACAGCTTGCTTCATTCTTAGAGTCTGCAATGACGTTTTGCTGTGGTATGTTTCACGGCAAGATGGCTCAGTGAATCTTGCCAAATGCCTTCCTCATCTCCCCGTGCCATGGGAGGGTCTTGCCATGGTTTACCTGAATATGCATTTGACTTCCGCCATGCCGTATTGCAGCTGCTTTAGCTCCCTTTTTATTGTCACCTTCCCCTTGGCTATACTCATCTTCCTCGAACATCCCTGGACAAATTCATCCTCTTATGTTACCAACCTATTTCTCCCCTTACATTTACCACCAAACTCTTCGAATAGTTTTTCCATTAATCTTCACGTCCTCAGATTCCACTCTTGTCTCAGCTCATTCCTAGGCTTCTGCTCACACAGACTAGTGAAGCTAAAACCCCAATGGCATTCTAATTGATTCATCCATGGCCTCTTCAGCCTTCACTATCTACTTCTCTAAAGTTCTAACACTTTAAAGAAACCTTTCTCTGGGAACTAGATCATTCCTTGGCTTCCAACAGATCACTCTCTCCTGGTTCCTTGTTTCAACTTTTGATGGCTCAGTCCAAGGCACCAGTGCACTCTACTCTTCCTCCAACCATTAAATATTGGCTCCCCAACATCCTACCACTGGTTTGTGGGGGTTTTTTTGCCCTTGAATTGTTCCCTTTGTGTCATCTCATCCATCTACTGGCTTCAAATATAGATGATTAATTAATTTCTAGATCTCTAACGTTTGCCCTAAATTCTTTCTTAAGTTCCATATTTCTATCTTCAAAAATCAGCAGAATTTGCCACTCAGCATGTCCAAAACCACATTCACTTTTCTCCTCCTCCCAATGCTGTTCTGTTCCTTGCATTCTATCTCGCAGTTAATGACACTACACATCTCGTCTTCAAACTAGAGACCTAAGCACCACCCTATCATCTCTGCTCTACTTAAACCTCTACTTCTGAGTGAACATAAACACTAAAGCTTCTACCCAAGAACTGTCTCATAGTTATTGGGTGTTAGCTTTTGGGGGGTTGGTTTGGCTTGGTTTTTGTTTTGCTTTATCTTCTTCACTGCTTCTACCTTAGGTCAGACATTCCACATTTCTACCTTGATCCATGCTACAGCAGAAACTCCTAATGGGTAACTAGACTCCAGTCTTTGTTGCTCAACCCTGTTGACAGAATTCTCTTGCTAAAAACAAAGGTAATCTCAATAGACATTATTCTTACATTAATGTCCTCATATTATAATAAGGTGCATAGATGAAACTGTAAGACAAAAGACATGTCTCTGTCTGTAGGGAGCAAGCTCTGGCCATATGATTAATACTCCAAAAGTCAGAATTATGAATGAGCCCCATTTAGTTCATGGTATAGTCACTATAAGAGTCAAGACCTCTTAAGGGCAGCTTCCTGATGCCATTCTCATGTAGACATATTCGGGCTAACGACTAGAAGACAAAGAACCCACTCAAGTCAGCCCAGGAGGAGTGCCCAGCCAGGAGGATCAACTAGGAGCTATCATAGGGCTTAGGATAAAAATAAGGCAGGGTCTGCAGACTCTGGGAGCAAGATCACTTTTGGTAGGAGCAGAAATCTGTATTACACAAGCTAGATGATGTTTCATGTCATTTCTAGGATTACTGACCTGTGCTCTCCCTTAGCAAATAATAACAACTTTTTAAAGGTTATAACCTGTCCCAGATTAAAAGGAGGACAGGGTTCCTCCGTATTCTTGTGTCGACACTGAAAAGCAGTGTATGCTGAAGGCCAGTGAGGGGGCAGAAACAGAGAACGAGGGGAAGCCATCCTAAGGTGAAACTTAGAGACACAGACTCAGGGAATCTTGGCCTGTTAACTTCTTCCCACAGGAGACCCCTTCCCAGTGCCAATCTTGGGGGTCTCAGACTTGTTTATTATTAATAAGAGAACATGTGTCCCTCACAATTGATTTCCTATTGCCTTTAATTGAAGTCAGAATTCTTAAGAACGGAATCCTTCTCCAGCTGGACTGAACCTACCTCATCTCCCACGAAAACCCAAAAAGCACACAGTACTTTTTATCGCCATTAATGAGGAATATTTCAGCACCCCCAGTGAGCCAGGTCATGCCAGTGCCCCCAGCGTGTCATGCTGAGGTCACACAGAACATGCCGCTCTTTCGGGATTGGAAATTCTCTCCCTAGTCTAGGACATTCCTCCTTATCTTTCAGGAGCCAGCTCTGTTATCACCTCTTCCCCAAAACATCCCTTGACCCCAGACTGAGGGAGTCCCTTGATGGCTCTCTGCCATTTTGCTTATTACCCTATCGTTGCACCTCCCACCTGGTATCGCGATTATTTGTATACTGAGGGTTGGGGCTGCAACATATGAATTTGGGGGGGATGTCGGGGAGGGACACAATTCAGCCCATAACATAAGCCGAAGCATAATGTCTTGAATCAATTTATCTCTGCCTGGAAAAGTTAGGTCATGACTGAAAGAAGTTGTTTTCAGATTCTTTCAAACTGTTTTGTATGCTCTTGCTTTGTTTGCCTGTTTGTTTTCTTGAGCACCTGCTGTTTACAAAGCACTGTGTTTAGGCCAAGAAAAGTGAACACAGGAAGTAAACGCACGTCCCTGTTCTCTCAGAGTTTACCATCTAGATAATGATTTTTCTAATCGCTTTAGCAAAAACACAAATCAGAAGGTGAGGCTGTGCTAGGAGAAGCCAGGCTGGAGAGCTTGAAGCCAAACAATTTAGCTCCCCTGACCCTGTGCAAGGGCTCCTAAAGCCAAACCACGCAACCCTGGAGCTCCAGGGAGCACGTTTGAAAGAGCTGAGAGACACACATGCACTGAGCCAAATCAGATATGGAATATGCAATTGTTCAGTGTAAACTATAAAGCACCATCCTAACTTTGGTTATTGTTACATAGAATACAAAGAGTTCTCACCGTCTCAAAGTCAACTGAGTATTTGCAAGAATACCCCAGAAGGACTGCACTGACGGAAGGGAAACACCAGGGGGGGAAGCAAAGATGAGACTCAGAGACATCAGAAAAGGGAGAAGAGACTACAACAGAGACAAAAAGTATACACTAAGGATAACCAGTATGCATGTCGCTGTGTAACAACTGTAGCATCAGAGGAAATAACAGTAACGATTTATAGGGCCCTCCTGTGAGCCAGACTCTGGGCCAGCCCAATGCATGCATCATCTCACCCTCACAGCAGCCTTGAGAAATGCTATTGCTTCCCCATTTCACAGATGAAGAAAATGGGGCTTGAAGAGCT